AGTTGGAGTAGTGTCTATTGTTTCCTCAGTAGTGGAGAAATCTTCGTCATCGGTTAGATTAGGTTTAGCTGATTGAGTTTCCATGGGGGAGGCATGTGATGTGGAGGATTGTGAAGGTGTTTGTGGGATGGGAGTAGCTGATGATTTCTTAGTGTTTGTGTTTTGTTGTTGTGCTTGCTTGTTGGAGAGTGTTGTTACCATATTGGCTGTAGGGTGCTTGGATGAGGGTCGTGTTGTGGTGGTCATTTTGAGGTTTGTTTTGCATGCGGGGGTTGATGTTTTGGCTATGTGAGATGTGGGAGGGTTCGTGGTTGGTTGAGTGGCTGCTTGTGTGTGTGAGGTGGGTGCGGTTTCTCGGTAGGGGCCCCAGACAGAGCTGTCGGTTATGCGTGTGGTGTTTGTTTGTGGGATGGTGTTTGGGTGTGGTGTAGGGAGGAGTGGTTTAGATGCAGGTGTAGCAAATTTTCGTGTTTGGATTTTGGCCGTGTCTATGTTTATGTGTTTGTTGGCCTGCTGGGTGAGTGTGTGTCTGTATGGGCATTGGTTTGAGAGTGAAGTGTGTTGGGTGGATTTGCAGTGGATGCACCAGGGTGTGCATGTGCCTGGGCAGTCTGTTTGTGCGCATTTTTTACATTTAGTTTTACGGTATGTGCATTGGGAGGCAGTGTGGTTGTATTTGAGGCACTTTGTACATTGCTTAACCTGCTTTATATAGGGTTTGACTTCTAAGTTGGTGTGGGCTCCGAAGGATATGTGTTGGGAGGTGTTGCTCGCTTGGAGTACAAACTGCAACTGTCAGTCTCACGAGGGCGCTTGCTTATAAGCTGTTTCCTAATGAAGCCAGAGATGTTCTCTTGATTGGATTAGTGTGAGCTCATTTCACAGTGAGGTGACTGGTTGAGTGACAGAGACCAAGTCAACGTTGATTCAATTACAGCTTAAAGCAACACGCGTTTGTAGGCGTGACTGTACACACTGATCTGGAGGTCAGATTTAATGACGACGTTGAAATACAAAATAAGCTTTATTGTAATCCCTTTGATGTTAATTGAATGCAATGCCCCCATACCAAGTAACTTGGAGCTGCATTGATGTAAGTGGCTTCACATACAATAACATAAACAAACTGTATCCGAGTTACTCTGAAGATCTGATGTGTACATATATGCATTCAAACGCTTGTCTAAATGATAACTCTTTGTGTGTGAAAAAAATCATATATCTTAAAAATATATATACGTCTGTTTTGGATAGAAAGTAATGTTACTTGGGTAGCAAACATCTGTGGGTATGTGTTCTGTCTTGAACTCTGCCAGCAGCTAGTTCTCAAAATAATGACTTGTCACATATACGTCAGGGTAATAACAGAATCGATGTAATGTTGAAATTCGTTTTATTGAAAACAGGACATAAATCGGCGTCATACACAAAGTAACATTATTGTAAAATATATTACAACAGTAACAATCGTTAACAACCACTTCAAACACATGATATACGATTGCATGCGCATCAGGATAATAATGTCCATTTGCAATTTCTTTACAAAAAAACAATGCATGAACCATCGTGGACATAGTAACATGCTAACATTGTAACAATATTACAACAGTAACAATCAACAACAAAACATATTAATTGCCTCAATCGTGGAAGAATATAACAAAGGCCAAATAGCACACCAACTAGGTTCAAAACTGCAAACAGGCCATTAGATGAGACTCTGGTAGACACGGCTGACCGAAAGAGGGAGAAGACATGCTTCGAGCACTCATCCTTTGCCTACTTCTTCCCATCTTTTTCTGGCCTGCGGTCCCTGACTTGGATCGTGCCCGAAACTTCTTCAAATCGTCAACGTGGTCAGCGTGCAGCATGGGAACGTAGGTCTGGGGTTCACACATATCCTGCAAAGAAACAAACAAGAGACATTAAAATCTACCTTTAGCGAATTCAGTCAAAATGTCCTCTCATAATTGTAGCGAAACCCTAATAAAAGAATTCAAGTCGTCTGATAATACAATTTGAAGTCATGTCACTTATAAAGAGATTCTATGTACATAACACATTTCACCTTAAACCAAAAGATGAAAGTGCACAAAGAATAGGTTGAGACACGGTACAACAGGTAGAATTAGGATAGCCGTGAATACTGTGGTAGTCAAAATGTGGTAGTCAGAGTAGTTGTAGTAGTTGTAGTAGTAGTAGCAGTAGTAGTAGTAGTAGTAGTAGTAGTAGTAGCAGCAGCAGAATAGTATTTGTAGTAGTAGCAGTAGCAGCAGTAGTAGCGGTAGATGTAGTGGTAGCAACAGCAACAGTTGTCGTAGTAGTAGCCGTGAATACTGTGGTAGTCAAATTGTAGTAGTAGTAGTAGGTGTAGTAGTAGGTGTAGTAGTAGGTGTAGTAGTAGTAGTAGTAGTAGTAGTAGTAGTAGTAGTAGTAGTAGTAGTAGTAGTAGTAGTAGTAGTAGTTCGGGGGAACACCGGGGAAGTACCGTTCTGTTTGACGTCGCATTAGCGGGAATTTTAGATGGGGTCCATGCGGGTAATGGAAACCGGTTCTTCAGTGTGACTTGCGAACGTTTTAACCAACAGCTTCTCCACGTCTTCGTTCGCCGTATACCAATAGAGTTACCTCCCTTCGACCACAGCAGGTCTCCATTGAGAAGTGTCATATGTGCCAAGTTGTTCTTGTCTGTTTGCGATATTTAAATACCTTTGGTCACTGTCCATACTATTACGCTGTACGTTATCAGCCAATGAAACCTTGCTGTTCTTAGAAAGGGTGATTTCTATCTTCAAGGAGTAATTGCTTCACAAACTTAAGAGTTTTAAGTAGCCAGGTGTAATATTCCAGCGTGTATGAAATGACAAACTGCGTTAATGACATGCCACACCTGGGGAACTATGAAAATATAAATAAATTTAAACAATACTGGAATGGTTGACCTTCTGTTCAGATATTCGATACACAGGTCTTATTTTGCTCTGATGTATTGGGTTATAGCGATATAAAAGACTTCATTTTCTTCAGTGTACTAAGAAGCAGTGAATACAACCGAAAACACTACTGCGAACTGAGAAATGAGTATAAAACCTCTTGTAGAAAGTTCAAATATGATCTTAAATTGTCACGGATAGTACGACTAAACAGCATTTTACACAGACCGACATTCTACCCCAGAGGATCTAAATCCCCAACAGAATTGTTACACTATTTCAAGAAGTTATTCTCAAAAGATGATTCTACATATTTGGTAGACAATGAGTTCTTTGAACGTGATAATGATGGCGTCAGTGAAATTTTAGTGATGTTGACATGCTTCTGTTCGCGGAAACGGAAATACTGAATGCTATATCTCGCCTTAAAACTGGTAAATCTGCTTGGGTTGATTGTGTTATAGCTGATATGCTTAAGTACTCATTACCTGATATTATGCCTTTTCTGGTTAAATGTTACAATCGGTTTTTTGACAGAGGTATTTTTCCTTGTGTCTGGTCAAAATCTATTGGCAAATCATTTACTTCTATCAATTCTATAGATTAACACAGTGGTAAAAAATGAGAGATTAGATTCCTGAAACACAAGCGGAATTTAGAAAGGACTATTCGATCTTTGACCACTTATTTACTTTGTATGCAGTCATTGACAAATATTTATCCTACGGCATCGCAAGTTGTATGTGGTCTTTGTTTAATTTAAAAAAAGGCATTTGATTCTGTAAATAGAGCTAAATTGTGAAAAATAAGGGTTTAGGAGGCAAAATGGTTGCCATTGTTAAATCAATGTATGCAAATGTAAAGTCATGTGTCATGTGCTGCGGTGATACTAAAAGTGACTTTTTTATTGCCCGATAGGCTTACGCCAAGGATGTGTTTCAACTCCTATACTTTTTTTATCTTGATAAAACAAATATTGTTATAATAATTTGTAGAGGTGCTCGAGTGGCCGCAAGAGGGAAATGTTTTTTTAAAGGTAAAGGTAATAATGTTGTAAATGAATACAAATGCCTTGGCATATTGTTTACCCATACACTAAATCTGAAGAAGTCTGTAATCACAAATAGAGGAAAGAAAGCTATGTTACACTTGTTATCTCTAAGATTGGAGTTAATTCACCGAAAACGTATTTAAAATTATTTGATTCTCAAATACAACCTATTTCACTATATGAGATATGGGGTTGTAAAGAGTTCTATACAAGTGAAAAAAATCAATCTCCTCGCTTGTAAAAGGTTTTTGATTTTGTATGTCAACACCAAGTAATATGGTCAATGGAGAATGCGGGAGATTCCCATTGTACATTGTATCTTACACTCGTTGCTTGAAGTATTGGTGTAAAATAGTAATAATGCCTTAACACAGTTTATCTCAGGAGGCCTACAACATGCTTGTCTTGGAAAGAACACATGGGCTTCTTGTATAAGTACATTGCTTTTTTAAATATGGCTTTGGTTTCATTTGGCTGTTCCAGACAATTGGTAATGCAAATGTTTTCATTAACCAGAAATGGCAGTCAGATATTTACGAAAGTTCAAGATGTGATACTTATCGTCAGTTCAAGTCATTGCTTGAACCAGAATCTAAATTATCAAACTTACGGTGCAGACATTTTCGTAAAATCATTATTCGTTTTAGACTTCGCCTGAATGATCTAGTAAAATTAACACAGGGAGATTTTCATCTGTTGAGAAATCCCTACGGTTATGCCCATTCTGGGACATTGTTGTCGAAGGTGAATATCATTTTATGTTCATTTGCTCTATATACGAAAATCTAAAAAAGAAGTACTTACAGCAGTAGTCTTTATCTCATTTTAATGCTATAAGATTGTCTTCATAACTGTCCCGCAAGGATCCTCTAATACAAAATCAACTGGCATTGTACATACATCATGCGTTTTTGTTACAAAGTGAATTGTTACCTTGACTTTGTATCTTATAAATATGTAATGTAACTCCGTTGAAAATGGGCTTGTTGCCTTTCATACAATGAAGAATTGAATTCAGTTCAATGAAACTCTTTATTTGAGAAGCAATATCACATAAACAATGCAAAGAAAATTAATTTAATGGCAGATAATGAAAGATATTTGAGTTATAGATCAACAGTACAGATAACTTTTACATCTAAAAATACAACTCATTGTCCTCGTGGAGATTTCGGGATAAAATATGTCTTCGGAAACCTATACTGGTCGTAACGGGCGACTTAATGGATCGGGTTTTTAAGCCCGATAACGTTGTTGATCATGTATCATAATATCCACACGGCGTGAGACGAGACGTTAGTTTGATGTAAATAGCTGGGATATTGCTGAACGCGGGGTTAAACAAGACACTCGCCAAGAAATGTGTTAACATGACTAAAACAACTTTAAAAAAACTTAAATCACAATCATGCTGTACAACAGAGTTGAAAACTAACAGAGCTGCTAATACTGGGTGTTGTACGTTACAAATACTCCCAGGCTCCTACTGAATATAAAGCTAATCCACCACTAGCCTACCCGAACGCCCCGTATGGCTGACAAGAATATATACAGGATAGGAGATTGTGTTTATACAGTTGAGTAGGTTTAAGATCAGTTACACTGTTGTATTGTAATGAGTTGTGTTTCTGCATGAAGTTAGTAAGTGAATGCAAACACTGTGTCCATGACACTTTTAGAGGAACATACACACAAGCAATGCAGAACTTACCAACAAGAAAGGAAATGTATTCAATACTGCGAGATCACATTATGTGCTAAGTTTGCTGAAGAAATATGGTACGATTTTCAAGATCAAGATAATAATCGCAACTACGAGAAAATAATCGAACTAATGAGAAAAATCTCAAAGCAACGAGAAAATAGATGAAATAAGTAGAATATATAATAATTGAATAAACTTGAAAATAAACTTGAAAAAACAAGATAATCGCAATTACGAGAAAATAATCGAAATTACGAGAAAATAGTCGAAGAAACGAGAAGAAAGCCGAAGCAACTAAAAAGTAATTGAAATGAAGAGAAAGTAATAGAAGTACCGACAAAAACCTCAAAACTTCAAGTTTTTCAAATAACGAGAAAATAATTGAAATATACGAGAGAGAGAAATCGAAGCAACGAGAAAATAACTGAAGCAACGAGAAAAAAATCTAAATTTTGAGTATTTTAAATAAACTTGAAATAACAAGATAATCGCAATTATGAGAAAATAATCGCAATTACGAGAAAATAATCGCAATTACGAGAAAATAATCGCAATTACGAGAAAAAACTCGAAGCAACGAGAAATAATTGAAATAATAATAAAATAATTGAAGCAAAGAGAGAAAATCGAAATTTCGAGTTCTTGAAGTTGACTTGAAATAACGAAAATATGATCGATACAAAAGGAGTAAAAACCTCGAAATTTCGAGAAAATGTACAAATTCTTGAAATAACGAGAAATTTCAATTTAAAACAAATATACATGCAACAAAAGTGGCACCATTAGGCTTTCGTATTCTGGGGCAGTCTGCAGAAATCTTTGTATGATTATGATTTTCGGAACTCATTCGGCACAAATGCCAGACCCGAGGAGCTTCATATGAACATGACTTTAACCCAAGCTTTGATGATTTAACCCGGGGGATCTCCGTCGTTTTAATACTGCCTGCCTGAGGAAATAGGTGGTTTGTTTTAAGGTTATTAAGTTTTGAATGTAGCTTGGGGAAATGATGTTGAATTACTTCCCGAGCCATGTCCTTTAACGATTTATATGAAGAAAAGTAGCACCAGACATAGATAATCGACTGGGAAGTGAGCTGTTACAATCACCATCACACAATCAAATCTAAGGGCACTCTTGTGGATTTTTTGCCAATTTTATTGTGCCAGCTTTGTTGCAGAACTGTCAAATAAGGTGACGGTAATAAAATAATATTGATGCATATGGAGATTTGTGTCTACTTGAGACAAGTGTTCACCAGAATCATACATAAATTGGGTTCATATTTGGTTTTGACACATTTGCAACACCTCTTTTTCTAGCATTTCGCAGATGCATTTCTTCTTGTGAAATGTGGGATGCCTGTTTACGACACTTGTTACAAATCTGTCCCCAAATAGATCGTCATAATTCCTTTCAATGCAAGAGAGTATTTGGTGTTTTCCAGTGTTTCGTGCTCTATCCTGAAACTAAAATAAGAACATAATTATTTCATGATGACGTCATCACAAGGCAGAGTTTATGAGTGAGTGAGTGATTTGGGTTTTACATCGCATTTTACAGAATATCTGTAGGATAATAAACGAGCTTAATGCTTTGGACAGGAAAAACGTATTCCACTCGGGACATAAATTTGAGGTTATGAGCGAGTTGGGTTTAAACGCCGCTTTTAACAACATATCAAACGAGCTTAAAACTCGGGGCGGGCAAAACACATTCGATTCGGGACATGAACTTGATATCAAATGGGAACGAGTTATTTATTACCAACGATGCTATTTAATGAATTATCAACAAAATAACGCCAAGACCACGTGTCATTATAAAGAGAGCAAAGGTGCGTATGGATACAAGTATGCGGAATGTTAACATAAAGCCGCATCACTTCCTGCATGCCATGACACGTCATTTGACATTGATGAAACAATACGTCTTAGGTTGAAATGACTGACATAGTTTGAGTTGCCATTGCGGTTGCACATAGGTCGGAAATTGCAATTTGTAACTGCCGTTCAGCTGCTTCAGGCTCACGTCAGGATTGTGTTTTCCTCCATCGTGGAGCTAACATATATGTTGATATTACAAGCAAAGGCAACATCTATATCACTTGAACGTAATCGATGTGGTCAGCCAGCGGATTCGCTTGACAAGCACGCTTTTTAAACATTATATTGACAGTGGAATTAAAACCATGTGGATTCTCGAAACTTCCAAGGATCTGCTTGAATTTTCAATCTCAGAACAGAACCAAGTTCAATTATGTGAAAACATTTGATTTTTTAAATTTGTACACCACTATCCCACACGAAGAACGTAAGGGAAACATGATGACCTTAGATAAAGTTGCATCTCTATCGTCAAAGGTTCACTGCAATTTGTCAAAAATGGAAGGAAATGACATCTGAAGTTTACTGAGAAAACAAAATGTGCATTGAGCTTATGATGTGGTCGGAATCGTACGGTGAACTCTACCTTTAGTAGAGATTTCTTATGAACATGGAAATGGTTTTTGTCGCTTATATTTCCATTTTTTCACTTTTAAAGTATTTTCATCAATAAAGATACCTCTCTGTCTCTGTCCGGGACAGCTTCACCAGCGTCACGTGACTCGTAAATGATGTCACATAGGTATTTCTGAGGACAGATAACACGTGGGTTAGCATTAAAGGATGTGTGTTGTACAGTTACAACCGGTGTCACACATTACATCTGGTATCACACAATAGATAGGGTGCCCCACGTTGCAAATGGTGTCACACATTACAACTGACGGCGCTCATTACAACCAGTGTCACGCAACTACATGGGGTGTCTCCCTTTACGACCGGTGTCATACACTTTATAGGGTGTCACATGTTACAACAAGTGTCAAATATTACACAGGGTGTCACACACCACATAGGGTGTCCAACATTACAACCAGTGTCACGCACTTCATAGGGTGTCTCACATTACAACCAGTGTCACACACTACATAGAATGTCTCACATTACAACCAGTGTCACACACTACATAGGGTGTCTCACATTACAACCAGTGTCACACACTACATAGGGTGTCTCACATTACAGCCAGTATCACGCACTACATAGGGTGTCACACACTACATAGGATGTCACAAACTACATAGGGTGTCTCACATTACAGCCAGTGTCACGCACTACATAGGGTGTCTCACATTACAACCAGTGTCACAGACTACAATGGGTGTCACACACTACATAAGGTGTCACACATTACATAGGATGTCACACACTACATAGGGGGTCACGCACTACATAGGAGGTCACACACTACATAGGAGGTCTCACATTACAACCAGTGTCACACACTACATACGGGGTCACACACTATATACACAGAGTGTCTCGCATTACATAGGGTGTAACACACTACATAGGCTGTCACACATTATATAGGGGTCACACACCACATAGGGGGTCACACATTACATAGGGTGTCTCACATTACAACCAGTGTCACACACTACATAGGATGTCACACACTAAATACGGGGTCACACACTATATACACAGGGTGTCTCGCATTACATAGGGTGTCACACACTACATAGGCTGTCACACATTATATAGGGGTCACACACTACATAGGGTGTCTCACATTACAACCAGTGTCACACACTACATAGGGTGTCAGTGTACTACATAGGCTCTCTCACATTACTACCAGTGTCACACACCACATAGGAGGTCTCACATTACAACCAGTGTCACACACTTCATACGGGGTCACACACTACACAGGGTGTCTCGCATTACAAAGGGTGTCATACACTAAATAGCGGGTCACACACTACATATGGTGTCACACACTACATAGGGTTCACACACTTCATAGGGGGTCACACACTAGATTGGGGGTCACACTACATAGGGTGTCACACACTACATAGGGGTCACACATTGTATAGGTGTTCACACACTACATAGGGTGTCTCACATTAAAACCAATTTCAGACACTACATATGGTGTCTCACATTTTAAAGGGTGTCCCACATTACAACCAGTGTGACACAATACATAGGTTGTCACACACTACATAGGGTGTCACACACTACATAGGGTGTCACACACTACATTGGGGGTCACACATTACAACCAGTGTCACACACTACATTGGGTGTCTCACATCACAACCAGTGTCACACACTACATAGGGTGTCTCAAATTACAACCAGTGTCACACACTACATAGGGTGTCACACACTAGATAGTGGTCACACACCACATAGGGGGTCACACATTACATAGGTGTTCACACACTACATATGGGTTCACACACTACATAGTGTGTCTCACATTACAACCAGTGTCATACACTACATAGGGTGTCCGAAATTACAACCAGTGTAATACACACTACATAGGGTGTCTCCCATTAAACCAGTGTCAAACACTACATAGGGTGTCACACAACCTACATAAGGGTTCACACACTACGTAGGGGGTCTCACATTACAACCAGTGTCACACACTACACAGGATGTCTCACATTACAACCAGTGTCACACACTACATAGGGGGACACACACTACATAGGGCGTCTCACATTACAACCAGTGTCACACACTAGATAGGGGGACACACACTACATATGGTGTCACACACTACGTAGGGGTCACACACTTCATAGGGGGTCATACACTAGATTGGGGGTCACACAACATAGCTTGTCACATAGTACATAGGGGTCACTCATTATATAGGGGTTCACACACTACATAGGGTGCCTCACATTAAAACCAATGTCAGACACTACATATGGTGTCTCACATTTTAAAGGGTGTCCCACATTACAACCAGTGTCACATACTACATAGGGTGTCACATATTGCAACCAGTGTCACACACTACATAGGGTGTCACACACTACATAGGGTGTCTCACATTCAAAGAGTGTAATACACACTACATAGGGTGTCACACACTACATAGGGTGTCTCACATTACAACCAGTGTCAAACACTACATAGGGTGTCACACACTACATAAGGGTTCACACACTACATAGGGGGTCTCACATTTCAACCAGTGTCACACACTACATAGGGTGTCTCACATTACAACCAGTGTCACACACTACATAGGGTGTCACATACTACATAGGGTGTCTCACATTACATTCAGTGTCACACACTGCATAGGGTGTCTCACATTAAAACCAGTGTCACACACTTCATAGTGTGCCTCACATTACAACCAGTGTCACACACTACATAGTGTGTCTCACATTACAACCAGTGTCACACACTACATAAGGTGTCTCACATTACAACCAGTGTCACACACTACATAGGGTGTCACACACTACATAGGATGTCTCACATTACAACCAGATTCACACACTACATAGGGTGTCTCACATTACAACCAGTGTCACACACTACATACGGGGTCACACACTATATACACAGGGTGTCTCGCATTACATAGGGTGTCACACACTACATAGGGGGTCACACACTACATAGGGGGTCACACATTATATAGGGGGTCACACACTAGATTGGGGGTCACACTACATAGGAGGTCTCACATTACAACCAGTGTCACACACTTCATACGGGGTCACACACTACACAGGGTACCTCGCATTACATAGGGTGTCACACACTACATAGCGGGTCACACACTACATATGGTGTCACACACTACATAGGGGTCACCTCACCTCATAGGGGGTCACACACTAGATTGGGGGTCACACTACATAGCGGGTCATACACTAGATTGGGGGTCACACTACATAGGGTGTCACATAGTACATAGGGGTCACACATTATATAGGGGTTCACACACTACATAGGGTGCCTCAAATTAAAACCAATGTCAGACACTACATATGGTGTCTCACATTTTAAAGGGTGTCCCACATTACAACCAGTGTCACATACTACATAGGGTGTCACATATTGCAACCAGTGTCACACACTACATAGGGTGTCACACACTACTTTAGGAGTCACACATTACAACCTGTGTCACACATCACGAATCTATATATCATAGCAATATGCACTATATACACAGGGTGTCTCGCATTACATAGGGTGTCACACACTACATAGGCTGTCACACACTACATAGGGTGTCACACACTACATAAGGGGTCACACATTATATAGGGTCACACACTACATAGGGGGTCACACATTACATAGGGTGTCTCACATTACAACCAGTGTCACACACTACATAGGATGTCACACACTACATAGGGTGTAACACACTACATAGCGGTTCACACACTACATAGGGTGTCTCACATTACAACCAGTGTCACACACTACATAGGAGGTCTCACATTACAACCAGTGTCACAGACTACAAAGGGTGTAACACACTACATACGGGGTCACACACTATATACACAGGGTGTCTCGCATTACATAGGGTGTCACACACTACATAGGCTGTCACACATTATATAGGGGTCACACACTACATAGGGGGTCACACATTACATAGGGTGTCTCACATTACAACCAGTGTCACACACTTCATAGGGTGTAACACACTACATAGGGGTTCACACACTACAAAGGGTGTCTCACATTACAACCAGTGTCACACACTACATAGAGTGTCTCACATTACAACCAGTGTCACACACTAGGTAGGGTGTCTCACATTACAGCCAGTGTCACGCACTAAATAGGGTGTCACACACTACATAGGGTGTCACCCACTACATAGGGTGTCTCACATTACAGCCAGTGTCACGCACTAAATAGGGTGTCACCCACTACATAGGGTGTCACACACTACATCGGGTGTCTCACACTACATAGGGTGTCACGCACTACATAGGGTGTCTCACATTACAACTAGTGTCACAGACTACATAGGGTGTAACACACTACATATGGGTTCACACACTACATAGGGTGTCTCACATTACAGCAAGTGTCACGCACTAAATAGGGTGTCACACACTACATAGGGTGTCTCACATTACAGCCAGTGTCACGCACTAAATAGGGTGTCACCCACTACATAGGGTGTCACACATTACAGCCAGTATCACGCACTACATAGGGTATCACCCACTACATAGGGTGTCACATACTACATAGGAGGTCTCACATTACAACCAGTGTCATAGACTACATAGGGTGTAACACACTACATAGGGGTTCACACACTACATAGGGTGTCTCACATTACAACCAGTGTCACACACTAGATAGGGTGTCTCACATTACAGCCAGTGTCACGCACTTAATAGGGTGTCACACACTACATAGGTGGTCACACACTTCATAGGGGGTCACACACTAGATTGGGGGTCACACTACATAGGGTGTCACATACTACATAGGGGTCACACATTATATAGGGGTTCACACACTACATAGGGTGTCTCACATTAAAACCAATGTCAGACACTACATGTGGTGTCACACACTACATAGGAGTCACACACTACATAGGGGGTCACACATTACAACCAGTGTCACACACTACATAGGGTATCTCACATTACAACCAGTGTCACACACGACATAGGGTATCTCAAATTACAACCAGTGTCACACACTACATAGGGTGTCACACACTACATAGGGGTCACACACTACATGGGGGGTCACACACTACATTGGGGGTCACACATTACAACCAGTGTCACACACTACATAGGGCGTCTCACATTACAACCAGTGTCACACATTACATAGGATGTCTCACATTACAACTAGTGTCAGACATTACATAGGATGTCTCACATTACAACTAGTGTCACACACTCCATAGGGCGTCTCACATTACAACCAGTGTCACACACTCCATAGGGTGTCACACACTACATAAGGGGTCACACATTATATAGGGTCACACACTACATAGGGGGTCACACATTACATAGGGTGTCTCACATTACAACCAGTGTCACACACTACATAGGATGTAACACACTACATAGGGTGTAACACACTACATAGCGGTTCACACACTACATAGGGTGTCTCACATTACAACCAGTGTCACACACTACATAGGAGGTCTCACATTACAACCAGTGTCACAGACTACAAAGGGTGTAACACACTACATACGGGGTCACACACTATATACACAGGGTGTCTCGCATTACATAGGGTGTCACACACTACATAGGCTGTCACACATTATATAGGGGTCACACACTACATAGGGGGTCACACATTACATAGGGTGTCTCACATTACAACCAGTGTCACACACTTCATAGGGTGTAACACACTACATAGGGGTTCACACACTACAAAGGGTGTCTCACATTACAACCAGTGTCACACACTACATAGAGTGTCTCACATTACAACCAGTGTCACACACTAGGTAGGGTGTCTCACATTACAGCCAGTGTCACGCACTAAATAGGGTGTCACACACTACATAGGGTGTCACCCACTACATAGGGTGTCTCACATTACAGCCAGTGTCACGCACTAAATAGGGTGTCACCCACTACATAGGGTGTCACACACTACATCGGGTGTCTCACACTACATAGGGTGTCACGCACTACATAGGGTGTCTCACATTACAACTAGTGTCACAGACTACATAGGGTGTAACACACTACATATGGGTTCACACACTACATAGGGTGTCTCACATTACAGCAAGTGTCACGCACTAAATAGGGTGTCACACACTACATAGGGTGTCTCACATTACAGCCAGTGTCACGCACTAAATAGGGTGTCACCCACTACATAGGGTGTCACACATTACAGCCAGTATCACGCACTACATAGGCTATCACCCACTACATAGGGTGTCACATACTACATAGGAGGTCTCACATTACAACCAGTGTCATAGACTACATAGGGTGTAACACACTACATAGGGGTTCACACACTACATAGGGTGTCTCACATTACAACCAGTGTCACACACTAGATAGGGTGTCTCACATTACAGCCAGTGTCACGCACTTAATAGGGTGTCACACACTACATAGGTGGTCACACACTTCATAGGGGGTCACACACTAGATTGGGGGTCACACTACATAGGGTGTCACATACTACATAGGGGTCACACATTATATAGGGGTTCACACACTACATAGGGTGTCTCACACTAAAACCAATGTCAGACACTACATGTGGTGTCACACACTACATAGGGGTCACACACTACATAGGGGGTCACACATTACAACCAGTGTCACACACTACATAGGGTATCTCACATTACAACCAGTGTCACACACGACATAGGGTATCTCAAATTACAACCAGTGTCACACACTACATAGGGTGTCACACACTACATAGGGGTCACACACTACATGGGGGGTCACACACTACATTGGGGGTCACACATTACAACCAGTGTCACACACTACATAGGGCGTCTCACATTACAACCAGTGTCACACATTACATAGGATGTCTCACATTACAACTAGTGTCAGACATTACATAGGATGTCTCACATTACAACTAGTGTCACACACTCCATAGGGCGTCTCACATTACAACCAGTGTCACACACTCCATAGGGTGTCTCACATTACAACCAGTGTCACACATTACATAGGATGTCTCACATTACAACCAGTGTCACACATTCCATAGGGCGTCTCACATTACAACCAGTGTCAAAATATTACACAGGATGTCTCACATTACAACCAGTGTCACACACTCCATAGGGCGTCTCACATTACAACCAGTGTCACACACTACATAGGGCGTCTCACATTACAACCAGTGTCACACATTACATAGGATGTCTCACATTACAACCAGTGTCACACACTACATAGGGTGTCTCACATTACATCCAGTGTCACACACTACATAGGGTGTCTCACAATACAACCAGTGTCACACATTACATAGGGTGTCACACACTACGTAGGGGTCACACACTTCATAGCGGGTCATACACTAGATTGGGGGTCACACTACATAGGGTGTCACATAGTACATAGGGGTCACACATTATATAGGGGTTCACACACTACATAGGGTGCCTCACATTAAAACCAATGTCAGACACTACATATGGTGTCTCACATTTTAAAGGGTGTCCCACATTACAACCAGTGTCACATACTACATAGGGTGTCACATATTGCAACCAGTGTCACACACTACATAGGGTGTCACACACTACTTTAGGAGTCACACATTACAACCTGTGTCACACATCACCAATCTATATATCATAGCAATTTGATACTTACCATACATGGTTGTAAGTCATAAAACATGACCTCCAACTGAAGACAATGTTAAGGAAAGCTGTAAGGTCAACCATATGAAACCATGATTTTAAAGAGAATAGTTGCTTTCGTCGGATAGTATCTTTGAATCAATTATTCGAGCTAGTAAAACTAACATACCAAACAGGTGGCTGCCAAAATATGACAAGCACAATTTTGAGACAAGACTTTAATTATGATTTAATTTTATGATTAAAAAAATTCCAAGATATCCACTTCTTAATTGCAAGATTGGTTTGTTTGTTGTCTAACGCCGCACTCAGCAATGTTCCAACTGTATGACGGCAGTCTGTAAATAATCAAGTCTGCACCAGACAATCCAGTGATAAATATCATGAGCATCGATCCACGCAATTGGGATCGATGACGTGCATCAACGAAGTCAGCGAGCTCGACCACCCGGAAAGATAGCATCGAATACATGAATGACACATATTCATGGTTCGGATTAATGTGGCTATAGTGATGATGATAATACATGTAATACTAATAATTTTCCCATGATGATAATGATGATGCTGATAGTTTAATAGAATTTTCCAAAGGATACGGTCGGTCTCCAGCGGCTTGATTCATAGTTGATGAGGATATTGGTTCTTAAAACATGCCTCAGGGAATATGCTTGTATTCGAGCTTTCAATCTCTTTAACATCTGTCAAAACAAGCAACCATGTTCATGTGACAGCACGTCATTAGATGAAAAACACAGATGAAAATCTTAACAGCTAACCTATCACATGGAGCATCACATGGCAGCGGTTCATTACGATCAACACCTGAACAGCAATGTCGTACTTGCACAGGTGGAGCTCCGCAGAGGTCCATTAGACATGTCACTGGTTTGTTCGCACCATATCTGTGTTGGTACATTTTTCCAATGTTGCCACATCACTTGCGACACCTTCCCAACCACGATCATTATTGTTCAAAGCGGCGTTAAACCATATCGAAAATCGCCAACTCACTTTTATTGTAATAATAATTCATTGAAGTATCGGAGATGTCAAGGGAAAATAGCGTTAGTAATGGGCACATGAGTAATTTATGCTGAAAGCCATGGTAGATTTGTTTGTTTAACGCTGGAGTTAATATTCCAGCAGAGTCTGAACCCGACAAAAGTAATTGATATTATTAGGAACGCCCCGCGCCGTCAGGGTATTATAATACACATTCAACCATTCACCAGGTCTTACTACCCGAAAAATTTAGTCGCTTCTTACGACGAACAATATGGTGCTAATGACCTATACTAACACAGAATCCACACGGAGTGCTTGTAGGGATGGACCTCCACCATGGTCTAGTGGATACCCCTGGCCATACCAGAAGCCGTTAACGGGGGTAATTGTTGTTACCTTGCCTAACGCATTAATGGAATAAAAGAAAAAGTGGTCGTCTCGAAGTCTGTATACTGTGTCCTAGTGGGTTATTTATGTCAAACTGCGACACTATATCTCAGTGGGCTAGCATTATAAAACCGACAGAACCCAATTTCACCATAGTATAACAAAGTAATACGCACTTACCTGCACATGTGCAACATAGACCAAACCTGCTCCGAGGAGAGGTATGACTAGAACAAGAGCTGAAAGAAAGTCACTATTCAACATTTTCTTATCTGATGCTACCATTATGCAGATAATTAGCAGCATCAGCAAAATGCAGAATGTTGTGCCGCAACAGCAAATGCCGCAACAGTGACGAAAGGAGTGGATGGTGGAATAGTACTTCATACAGGCAGAGGTGTTGGCAATATCCTTTGCTTCATAATATACTCTTTCAGCGAACTGAAACAAACACGAAGGTGCGCAAGTTCCAGGCCCGTCAGAGTGACTGTTTCAAAACTTTTCATCTCTGATAGGAGGAAGCAAACAACTTATGTTTTTCAGTGATCATTCTTTTCCCTTTTTGAAGAAAGAATTTCTCTTTTTCAGTATTTTCTGGAACAAGCTAATCGTCTCTGTAATATTATATATATAATAGGCTGCCCTCATTGCTAAAGCGGGGGGACAGTTTTTAAGGATGGGTACATCATTACTGAATAGCAGCAGTCACTCTTAACATTTAAGTCTGAAACAGTTTATATTACCCATAAGGGTAGAATGATCCTGTGCAATATCTTTCCGATATTTCCACATATGCCTTTCGGCGATTCTCTGCTATGATTGGTTAACTGAAGCCATATGACGTCACAGTGCTTCATCATTGAGAAAAATACGATATGACGTCATACACTGTTTATGACGTCACACATTGATTACATTACTTCATCTTTACATTAGGCTACTTCCAGTTAAGCTTCTCTGGAGGTTGACATTTCATACGTCTTTTCTTTATTTCCCCTGAGGTTGCATTCTATAGAGCTATAACATTGTCAGGTCATATATGTCATGTTACCTTGCTTCCAAGTTGGCGAAGCTCGTAACGTTGGTGCTGGTCGAGATCTCGAAAAGAATACGCAGGCCCTCTACAAGTGGATTTCAAATTTTTCTCCCCAATGATCTTAGTAACAGTTCCATTTGCTGCCCCTTGAAAATTAGGAAAAAGAGAGATATCATGAAATAATAATTAAATTTTCGTTGTGTTCACTGTAATTCGTGCATTCTAATTAGCTGAATTGGTCACGTGTTATTGAATTCATTTCCCAAGGAATGTAAAGACATTAAGCCACGCCCATCGACGGGGACTACTTTTATATAAACTACGGAGTGTCGGGGAATCCCAATATTTTATAGTCGAGGGAACTACCTTTCTGTTCACGTGTATCGTCATGCATATTCATTTTCAAACTATCCTTTGCGGCCGACAGCCGAGAAGGAATGAGACAACAAACGTGCAGGCTCGCTCCACAAATATTTCATGTCTTCGGGTTTCATTTCAAATGCGCACTTTTTCAAACTGTGTCCTCTCGTTCTCAGGGACCTGATGTTCGTATCTGGCAGGTAACTGACCATGTCATTTGAAACAGCCGCCTTCTCCCGGACATATTTGTTCCGGTTCGTTAGAGTCTTGACTGTTGCAGTTCTTCTCGCCTCTTGCCTTGACTGACAGGTCCTATGTACTTTGTTTTAATCCTACTTTCCGTTGATTAGCTATTGACTTTGTGGGCGTGTCAAGTTATGAGCATAAATTAAACAATCACCGATTCATGTCACGTCACAGTATGTATTTCTACACTTGGTATGTTTATCAATCTCGACATTTTTGTCTGCTTTGATACAAAGAACTGTTGTTGGTTAAACACTATTGTAGACAACACATGTTTTCCTTGTGGAATTTAATTATAAGGATTGACTGGGGATTTTTTTTTCGGTTGTAAAATCCACAGTCATTCCTTAATTACATTTTAATGTAGCCGATGCGATCTATTCTTTTCAGTCCTATAATACAACTATCATCTTACGGTTTCTGTTGAAAATCTTTCAAAATAAACAGTTTATCGTGCCTAATCTACGCCCTTACCTTTTTCGTTTTTCCAGTATTTCATCATTTCCGGAACAAGATGTTCAAAATCTCCTGAAAAGAATGAAACTTAGTGTACAAGAAACAAGTGGTAACTTAAACACACATTGTCAAATGAGATCGAAGCCTGGTAATAATCGAACTTTTCACGGATTGTACATGCCTATTGGCAATCTGTTAAAAAGTCAGTTCAGTATACTTAGCCTATGTACATTCTGTAGCAAATTGCTCGCTGTCGTGTAAAGGTGTTGTAACCCTAGACACACGTGGTGTCTTTGCGACATCGACAAAGATGATTGCTAAATCCAGAATAACAAGAGCCATAACTCCCTCAGATTATTTTTGACACAAAAAAGTATTTCGTGTATGTACATTGTGATATTCCAAAAGGAGGCAAGGCCAGGTTTCAGGAAAAGGTCAATAACTTGATTTAAACATCACCACATAGTTGAAACCAAAATGAACACTTATTCATAAAATCACAAAGATTCGCTTTACTCTGCTCTATTCCAATGAATAGACCACTCTCTTAAACTCTTAAACATGAACGCATTAACCCCTTTGTGGAACCATACCAAAAAGTACCCCCGCAATGCGTTAAACAATTGTTCCACTATGTATGTCAAGCTGAGGATTCGAGGATGGGATTGGTCGTCAGTTCCCCTTGCAAATCGAAAGAGCCGACAGAGAGCGGATCGGATGGGTACAATGTGTCTGATCCACAGATCAGTGTCCGATCCCCGAAAGTTGCTCATGTGTCGGCCTCACCAAGGTTTGATATAGCTTGGATACAACGGCACAAAACATTCATGCACTTAACGTTATAAGTATGGGTGTTTGGACACGACTCAGTGCTGAACCTGTACATGCAGTCCAGCAGGTTTATAGCTAAGAGGGGCCACGAGTGTCCTAGCCGTCTAAGGAGCTGCAATTCGCTGTACAGAACTGCATTCCTTAGGCAAGCCAAACAAATATTATCGTGGAGTATATTATTTCTAAATGAAAGTGTTGATTGTCCTTCTGAGGAAGACCCGTGAAGATCCGGGGTAGAATAGGTCTTCAGCAACCAATGCTTGCCGTAAGAGGCACGTATGCTTGTCGTAAAAGAAGACTAACAGCATCGGGTGGTCAGGCTCGCTGACTTGGTTGATGCATGTCATCGATCTCAATTGCGCCGATCGATGCTGATGATGTCAATCACTGGATTGTCTGGTCTAGACTCGATTATTTACAGATCGCCGTCATATAGCTGGAATGTTGCTGAGTGCGACGTAAAACAACAAACCAATAAACCAACCATCCTTCTGAGGAAACTGTTATGTCACAGCACGTGATTGAAGAGTTAGTAAAATGTCCAGCGGTGTCGTTGCCAGATGTTTAGCGGAACACGGCGACACAAGGCGTTATTTATAGTTATCCGCCTTTGTGTTAACAACAAACATGCCACGCTTAGGGAAGTTTCTGGATGGCCTGGCTGGGCTTACAAGCGACACGTTGGCAACATGAGGCTTTTACGACCTGACTTTCGTATTATTTGCGTGGGTTGGTTACGCGTCTCAAAACATCAAACTGTAATAGCTTCCAACACTATTCCGGATTGAAGAACAGAGGCGTTTATATTTTTTAACGCTGGTCCAGACTCATTATTTACAGACCACTTACAGAATCACTTGGTAACAAGAAGTGAGGATTTCTGTGGAATTGTCACAACAGTTAGCAATGACTTCAATACATAAAAGATGAGAGACATCACGTCAATGGTCATGACAGTGATTAAACACTGTTAATAAAAGACAAAAGTTCCTTTAAATCAAATATGTGCATGATTATATCCTCTTGTGTACCTTTGATAGTGACATCGGGGTCCCAAAATTCCTCTTAGGAAAATTGGATGTGGTACTTCATGTGATCACAAAGTTTGTCAATTTAAGCTTGTCAACACGTACTGTACTGGCTTGTTTCAAGAAGGCAGTGATAAAGCCATTGATAAAGGAGCCTTCTCTAGAGATCTTGATGCTCAAATATTGAGCAGCTACCATCTGGTATCCAATTTGTCATTCATGTCAAAGATTCTAGAAAAAGTCATTAAGGCACAACTGGTTGAACATCTATGACAATCTGACTTGACCGAGTCCGGCACAGTACTGAGGCGGCTCTGAACCTATATGATAAAGCAGAGGCCTGCACTAAATTTATGTAATAAAGGAATTTTGCACAGATGGCATACTCATCTGAGGCATCACAATTTGTTAGCAGAGTTATGTCCCCTGGATGTGCCAGGGTCTGCTTATCTCGTATTCTAATCCCTTGGTTTGTCCGCACCATACCCATGAGCGTAGATTACACCGACCTGATAAACGTCTACATTATACATGCGTATCTTTCCTTAACATTGAGTTGCGATTCCGATTATAACTTAAATACTCTTAAAACAGGCGTTTAGGCCATCTTATCCATCCATAATTTAAAAACATTGAAGGTATGATTAAGCAAGCAAATAAAACGTACGTGTGTCTTCGTCAAAGCATCGCCGAATTTTGAATGCATAGTCCTCTCCGGCAGGTACATCAATATAATTCAGGGTCTTCAGGATGCCTGGAAAGTCGCATTGGCTTAACATTACAGGAATTATCTGATTTTCCTTATTCTCAACAGAAATGCCAAACGCAAAATTCCGTTCATATTCGCACCATCGGCTTTCCATGGAAGCAGGAGAAAGAATGAAGACAACCTTCACAGAAGACACGATTCCACTCTGTATCAAGGCTCCAACATCATGGCCGGGGGTAAAGTCTCGTTTTGGCCAAAGGCATTTCAAGCCAAAGTCTCGCTCCATGGTGTTGACCAGTTGCTCTGCCCATTCCGCTTCTTCCGGAGGATCATTACAATGGGAAATGAAAAGATGGTGCGTTTTTCCATTTGGAAGTGGGGGAATGTCCAGATTCAGGGTGTTCCTTTGGAACGCTTCTTCCTCCCTAGCAGCTCTCTCAGCCTCCATGCGGCGTTGTGCCAGCTCAAAGTCATATTCCTCATCTTCTTCAAACAGGACATGGATATCGCGATCACTTGATGTGGCCATTGTTTATTTTTCCAATGTCTGCAAGAGTCAAAAAGGGTTTTTACAACAAAATGTATTTACGCAAAGAGATCTTATTACACTTGCATATAGCAATACAACAGAGCCATCATAATTTTCAATATTTGAAATGAACTATCGTCTCACAGCCTAAACACCATCTAAACACAACATCCCCACGTTGTCTATTATCCTACTGATTCAAGACCATGGTCTAGTGGTAGAGCATCCGCACGGAGAGTTGAAGGTCCGGGGTTTGATCCCCGGCCACGTCATACCAAAAGACATTAAAAGACGGTACTTGTTGTTACCCTGTCTGGCGCTCGGCATTAAGGGGCTAAAACAAGGACTGGTCGGCTCGGAGTCAGTATACTGTGTCTGAGTGGGGTATTCATGTTAATCTGCGGCATGGCATCTCAATGAGCTAGCACTATAAATTGGCATCAGTCCGGACTACTACAAGCAGCCACATAAACACAAACACATACACGTACATGCACGTCGCTATATAAGTGCAATAATCTTGGACGCGACGTTAAACCCAATTTCACCTCACCTCACCTTGTGACGTCTTGCATGTACGTAAATTGAGCAGAAGGAGCCAAGGGGCCGAAGCCTTTAATTTTTATCTACTGTTGTCTACTGTAAATAAAGCGTGTGAAGCCCATTTCTGGTGTCCCCCGCCGTGATATTGCTGGAATATTGCTAAAAGCGGCGTAAAACAATACTCACTCACTCACTGTAATTAAAGCGATTACCTGGTGATTGTGTTTCATTAAGCACTAGCTGTCAGGGGCGTCTCTCTGCATTCCGGACAACCATGGGACGTTGTGTGCTGCAGGACGTCGGGCCTCGTATTGCAGTCTGTGTAACTGAGGGGCTATGACTGCATGCAATTGTAAAACTAGCACAATTCACATACCTGGTCATCGTTGAGGCGTTACACCTTCCTGGTCAACGTCACGTGGTATGAGTCAGCTCGCCCCTACCTGCACAAATCTAGCCCACCCTGCATACGGACTCGACTTTCTTCTGTTTCGTAATCCACATTTGAATCATGTTTCCATGATCTCAGATGCTAATGCTACATAAGGTAGGTGTTGCATGGACTAATACTCGTCTACTACACATTATAGTGAGTGAGTGAGTGAGTTTAAATTAAACGTCGCATCGGCATTATTTCAGCCATTACCAGCTTAGGTTACTGGTGGCCTCTAGCCCGTGTTTTGAAAATGTATGCATGATATTATCATGCTAAAATATGTTTCATGGATTGTTTTTACATATAACTTTTAAAAAAATGACTCAATCGTACCGTATTAACTTGGTCTCGTCGCTATATGGCAGAAATAATGCCGGTGCAATGTTAAATTTTACCATTTACCACATTATAGCTTACCTGCTAAAGCCAGATAGTGAAGCCAATTACATGAATATACATCTTATGCTTGTATTGAAGGTATGTGTGTGTGTGTGTGTGTGTCTGTCTGTGTGTGTGTCTGTCTGTCTGTGTGTGTGTGTGTGTGTGTGTTTTGTGTGTGCGTGCGTGCGTGTGTGTGTGTGTGCGTGTGTGTGTGTGTGTGTGTGTGTGTGTGTGTGTGTGTGTGTGTGTGTGTGTGTGTGTGTGTGTGTGTGTGTGTGTGTGTGTGTGTGTGTGTGTGTGTGCTGGAGAGGGGGGGGTAAGGATATTGTAAGAGATGACCACATAGGACATATTTGGGTAATATAAAAATAACCCTGTCGACACTCGGAATTGCAGATTACATGAACCTTAACTTCATTCGTGACACACAATCCTTATTTCCTTGTTCCTCGTGAGTTATTCTCTAAATATTTGTGCTACATCTGCTCTTCCAAATTATGAAGCATTTAAGGTGACATATATGTATGATTTACAACGGTGAGTTAATCCGATTACAGTGGGTTACGAGGAATACGATTTTGTAAATCCGATGACAGTTGCTTTTGAGTAAAATGAGTATCGTGGTTGTCGTGTGAGTCTGCAAATGTTTATGCGTGTAATGTGCGGTTGCGTTCTCCACACAACGGGTCTTAACTCATGAGGTAAGGCTCTTGTGGTGTGGGCAAACACTTGACTTGCCCTTGCATGTGTTTGTGACGGATACAACCGGTGGGGTACGATACGATAACCCTTTCGCGAACACCTGGTATTATCACTAATTGATTGTGTTTCATAAAGGCATACTGAGGATATATAATAAAGGGAAAATGTAACTTTGCTTCATATAAAGTTCAATCCGGGTGAGAATAGGTCTTCAGCAACCCATGCGTACCGTAAAAGGCGACTATGCTTGTCGTAAGAAGCGACTAACGGGATCGGGTGGTCAGGCTCGCTGACTTGGTTGATGCATGTCGTCGTATCCCAATTGCGTGGATCGATGCTATCGATATTAATCACTGGATTGTCTGGTCCAGACTCGATTATTTACAGACCGCCATCATATAGCTGGAATATTGCTGAGCGCGGCGTTAAGAACAACCAACATAATGCAAACTGTATTTTTGCATACATGATTTGCTATGTTAGTGAACTGAATGGGCCCGTTGGTGTATGGCTGATATATTAAAGATTAGACGTTTTAATGTCACTCATATACCAAAAGATACATCATGTATACATTCCTTGTCAAATTTAAAAAAAATTATCCTCTTTTTTTCAGAGAGCAACACCTGGATGTTTGAATCACAAGAAGACTAGTGTGTCTGAGTTGCTCCTCCATTAAAACAGATGTAAAGATGTTGTTCATTTTGGTATTGTGTGTGCTGTTGTCCAGTTGTGGGGTAGGTGCAGAACGTTGCACCCCTCCAAATCCTCTGTCGTTTGGTACGAGGGGGTGTATTAGTGTACAAAGTTGTCGAAAGCAATCGTTTGTGGTGTATGGGAAAACATGCATTGTTCGTTGCAACAGTCGAGTACCGCTACAGATGTGGTACTATTCTAGTGTCTCGTGTCTTAGTGCACAGTCTTGTCGAGCAAGCTCGCGTGTGGTGTATGGGAAAACATGCTTGCGTTCCTGTCCCCCCGGGACGCTTTACCAACAGGACACTTCCACATGCTACAACACGTGTCCGGCACATACGATCATGGTAGGATCGCGTTGCTTGAATGGGACATACTGTGTGTCCCATAACAACCATGTCCTGTTTAATGGAACATGTGTGCCGTCCTGTCCTTCCTCCATGCCTTTCAAGACAAATGGGACTTGTTATCAGGCATGCCCAGTTGATACTGTTATGAACGGGTCCGATTGTATGTCTCCGGCAGACTGTATAGAGAGGGGATATTTCATAGACAACACGACATGTGTTAAAGTTTGTCCTCCCGACAAGCAGTCTATCCTACAAGGTGTCTGTCTTTCCTCATGTCCACCCGACAAACCTGTCACGGTAAATGGAAACCAGTGTCAATCAAAACAGGAGTGTACTCGCAGGCTGGGTCAATTCATATACAACAATACTTGTGTTCCTGTTTGTCCAGCTGCAGCTATGTTCAGTGACCAGGGATCATGCACAACACTGTGCCCAACTGAGACATGTGTTCTTGGGACTGAATGCATTTCTGACTTTGATCGCCGATATATGGTCAGTTTCCGAAATGAATGTATTGACACCTGCCCTCCTGAAGCTCCTTATGCAGTAGATAGCATCTGTTACTCGACATGCCCTCCTAACACTGTGTTGAATGATGAAACATGCATAGGTTTGCAACAATGCACAGATGCATATTATTACCTTTATAAAGTCATCTTCAACAATACCTGTGTTGATGCCTGTCCACAATCTGCACCTTTAACCCATTACGGAATGTGTGTAACAATTTGTCCAGATGAAACTGTAGTCGCTGACATGCAGTGTGTTGATCCTTCTATTTGTATAATGACCCATCGGTTTATAGCCAATAAAACATGTGTGTCCGAATGTAATGGCCTAGCACCCTACGTGGCCAATAGCCACTGCCACCCTGCCTGCCCAGATGAATTTGTTGTTACAGCCCCAGGGAAATTCCAGTGCATTGGCGAATCCGAATGTATAGAGATGAAGAAAATGGTATCTAACAGAACATGTGCAACAGCATGTCCAGAAGAAGCTCCATACAACAAGTCAAGCAACTGCTACCAAACGTGTCCACAGGAAACTGTTGGCTTGCCTGATATGAACTGTGGAAGTTATCAAGAGTGCAAGGAGCAAGGGATGTTTGTTCATGAATCCAAATGTCTTCATGATTGTCCATCAACGTTTCAGTATAAATTACACAACACATGCATCTTGGAATGTCCTTCAAACACAAGCGTATTCCCAGACAACAAATGTGTTTCTATATCCGACTGCTCAACGATAACAGACGCGGTCAAATACAATGGAGCATGTTTGCCACATTGTCCTCCTCATGTCCCATATAACCATTCCGGAAACTGTCTGTCGCAGTGTCCGTCAGGGTTCTTCGCAAAAGGTTTTGACTGCCTAGAAAATGACAAGTGCTCAAATGTCTTATACAACGGATCGTGCTTATCATCTTGCCCCCAAGAGGCACCAAACAGAAAGGACAGCAATTGTTACGCCATTTGTCCACCGGACACCTACATTTATCAGGAACAATGCATAGGTCAATATGATTGTCAGGAGAAGAAGTTCTACATCGCCGGCGGTAGTTGCGTGTCAACATGCCCACCTGGTAGTGCAGGTTTCACAGATTACGTCTGTTACCCCTTAATATATGTGTATAGCGCAATTCAAGTTACGCCATTTCTGATGTTGACGGTGCTGATGTGTCTGTTCTTCATGGTTTATAATCCTAAGAAATCAAGGGAAATGAATGCACCGCAAAAAGTTCAAAGAGAACAGGTAAGTATAAATGTTAGCTCCACTTCCATCGATAAACCTGTATATTGAATGTAAAGCAAGTGTAGTGTTTACGTAAGATATAAGGATAAGGAGTAACAGATGAACTCTGGTCAGCCTTAAAATATACATGGATATATGTATGTGCATTATGTGTCATTGCTCTTTGCTCATGATATTAACCACCGGGTTGGCCTGACCACGAACTGATTGAGAATAATAACATAGTCTGATGTATGTATATAGATATAGATGTCGAAAAATATGGATATATAGATAAATATGCATCTGCATATGCGTCAGTCTTGTTTTGTTTGTTTTGGGTTTTTGGGGGTTTTTTTGTGTTGTTTTGTTTGTTTGGTTGGTGTTTTTGTTCGTGTGTGTGCGTGCGTGCGTGCGTGCGTGCGTGCGTGCGTGTGTGTGTGTGTGTGTGTGTGTGCTGGAGAGGGGGTGGGGGGTGTAAGGATATTGTAAGAGATGACCACATAGGACATATTTGGGTAATATAAAAATAACCCTGTCGACACTCGGAATTGCAGATTACATGAACCTTAATTTCATTCGTGACACACAATCCTTATTTCCTTGTTCCTCGTGAGTTATTCTCTAAATATTTGTGCTACATCTGCTCTTCCAAATTATGAAGCATTTAAGGTGACATATATGTATGATTTACAACGGTGAGTTAATCCGATTACAGTGGGTTACGAGGAATACGATTTTGTAAATCCGATGACAGTTGTGTGTGTGTGTGTGTGTGTGTGTGCGTGCGTGTGTGTGTGTGTGTGTGATATATATACATTGGTTAATACATTGTGAAACTCAATTCTGAAATTTACGTCCTCCCTATGATGTACATTTAATGTTGTACATCCGATGTTTTCGTGTCGTATATTTTGTGTGTCTGTGTCAGACCTTTTGTAGTTGTGTAAACGTGTTGCACAATTTATCATTGCAGCTCACAGAGTGTGATATGCTGGAGTTAGTGACGTTTGACAATCTCCCCGAACAACAGCAAGACCGCGCTGAACTTCCGGATGAAGAAAACATGGAAGTCGTTTAGGATAGAAGAAGAGCTGCTGTCATTGCGAGAAAACATGGAAGTCAGTTAAGACAGATGAAGAGCTGCTGTCATTGCAAGAACAGCGAAATTCTTCTCAGAAAGCAACTGCTTTGAGTCACAATGGAGACATCTATGGAGTTACGAACTGTTTCAATAACGGGATTATCCATCCACGAAGAGACCACGACGATGTGCCGTTGTTACAAGTAACATCAGAAGACGAGCCTTTGATCCAGCACACTGATGATGCATTCGTGTTTGGTGATGGAACGAACTGAATTGACCAGAATGATGAAAGTGAAAATGATGGGTTGGTGGCTATCCCCATTGGCTTTTTAGCCAATGATTATCAGTTTACATTAATCTGCTCTGAATAGGTGTATTTTCTGTATTTTGGTTGCTGTCCTGAATTTGTAATTGGGTGCTTTAATCGTACTTTCTTACTTAGTATTAACTTTCTGTAACAACGCTTGTTTGTTTATTTCCCTGCTTGTTTCTTTGTTCTATATGGCTATTGTCTTCTGTTGGCTTGTTATCATATTTTTTTAAATGCACATAAGTGACCCATGTATTTATAGTTGTATATATCTAAAGTATATATGGTATGGCTAAAGATTTTGCTTCAATTAACAAGCAGCTTTGAACGTACACGATCAACAGGTAACAAAGAAATATTTTAAAATTAATTTCATCTCAGGATAAGGGACTGTCATAAGCAGTAACAATTTTCAGTTATTCACAATTGTCCATTTTTTAATATTTATATTCAGTTATAAAATAGACTTTTTGTATTAAACCATATTGATTAATATTAAATCTGAAGACTCTTGTACAGAAATAGTGTTAGACGCGATGCCGTGCAAAGACAATGTCGATTGTGTACAATGTGTGACAATTAGTTCAAATCTTTTTATTCATCAAATAGTTTAGGCTACGGGTCCATTCCACATCACCGCGTGTAGACCGTGAGAGAATATCATATCCAGTATGCAAAATAGATGCTGTTTACAAAGTCGCAATCTCATTGCTTTGTCGGTTGACGCCATCAAAATATCAAACCTTTTTAATGTTGGTTATAGAATTTACGTGGTATATATTTGCATCTCAAATGAACCTGTGAAGATCCGGGGAAGAATAGGTCTTGACTTGCTATTTCAAATGTCTATGTTTCATTGTATTTTCGGGTATGTTTGTGTATCAATTAATAGATTTATTGGAGGCGTGTGTGGTTGTTGACGTGGGGTGTGCATGTTGCCAACGCCTCATGTTGTTGCGCCACTTTCTCAGACATTATGTAACCTGAAACGCCCTGGCTATGTGGATCCGTGTAACTACATATTTATTTGTTCATTCTTTACAAACTTACGAAAATAGCGAATATTTTAACACAAGAACTGTCTCACTTGGGACTGATGAAATCTATGTGCTGGCAATTCAAAGAAACGTGCTTATGTCTGAAATGAACTGTTGAGTAAGAATTTTTATACAAAACTTGAACCAGTTATGTTTTTTGTATGTATTTTTAATGTTTATGAATTATTTAATATATATTTTACTCCTACATAGAAATGATGTAACTATACATGGCACCTTTCTTAGCGCGTGTGTACATGTTAGGTCGATACTTTGCGGTAAAAGTGCATGTTCCCTTCAAACAATTACATACAGACAAATATTTTGTACATAAAAATTGTATAGACGCATCTTATTATTTTCATGCGTCGAAGCTTACCCCTGATATGATTTTTATAATTAGAAAAAACTAAAGTGGAAACAAAGTGACTTTTATCCTAACTATTTGAGAGATGTGACCCTTATTTTTATTGAGTGGTTTGGGCCTAGCAGAGGGGCGTGATCTGAGCCGTGAGTGCTTTGATTGGTTTGTTTGTTTGTTGTTTTACGCCGCACTCAGCAATATTCCAGCTACATGACGGCGGTCTGTAAATAATCGAGTCTGGACCAGACAATCCAGTGATTAATATCATGAGCATCGACCCACGCAATTGGGATACGACGACATGCATCAACCAAGTCAAGGAGCCTGACCACCCGATCCCGTTAGTCGCCTCTTAAGACAAGCATAGTCGCCTTTTACGGCAAGTAGGGGTTGCTGAAGACCTATAGAGTGCTTTGAACCTAAGCTGAAATCACTCCGGAGTGAATTTTTATGGGGTTGATTTGAGCCTGCTACACTGGACGAGTGGGTCTATCTAGTGTATATCTATTTTATATACATCTTGTGTGTGTGTGTACATTGATCTATCACAATTAACAATGTTTAATGGAGTTGGTCATATAAGTGAGCCACTTTTTTCCCTTCCTTTTTTGTACTTTTTACACAATAAAATATGTTTAAACTTCTGTTCTGTTTTTACCCATTTTACCCAAGTTTTGTCTAAATGGAATGGAATGAAATAACACCACTTATGAAGAGTGCGACTGAGGACATAACTAGTGGGGACTGGGGTCACACACGGGTATATTCTTTCTTGTTACATTACAACCGCTCTCATCTATGTCAGCCGATGCCCATCTCGGACATCATAAGTTTGATTGATAACTCGAAAATGATGGTGCAGTAGATATCTCAATATTATTTTTACATCTCTGACGCTGTTGATACTTCAACACCCGCCATCACATATTAGTGTAGCACATACATAAATACACTGCACATTGGTGTATACCTGCCATGTCCACCACTTAGACGGTCTATTTGCAGAGGTTCCCTGCATGCTCTCTCCGTCTTTCCAACCTCTCCTTTATGTAACAATATGTTATAAGTTGTAGCATTATAACGAGGGGTATATGGGGTTTTATGTGTCAAGCTTTAGATTTTATGACACGAGTCGGAGGCCGCATAAAACCACTTATATCCAGAGCGATACAACGACAACGAATTGATCTTGCCCACATGTTTAAATCTGCCATTGTAAAATATTTAAAACAAATTGAAATTTAATAGAAACTACCTGTTGAGCTGAGGTTAACTTGTGTCATTGACTCGTAAGAAACGTGCAGCGTCTTGCTTCGTAGCGGGGTATTAATGATTTATTCTCCCGCGCAGAAATCCACATGCAGCCTGTTGTCTTCGTGGCTGGGTATAAGGGAAGTAGAGGAAAACTTAGTAGTTCATGACAACAACAGCATTTACCTCCCAATTTCAAAGGAAAGCGATGAAGCGCGAGCGAGTGGACAATGGAGGGGGGTACTTGAATGTGCGTTAGACCATTGAAACCTCCCTAAAGATGTGGTAACAATGGGGACAAAGGATGGTATTGATACAAGCGGAGTGAAGTATTGATACAGGTGCCACGGGTTATGTGCGAATAAGAAAAAAGATCGTCTGCTTTTGGACAGTCGTCTGCTGTTTTTTTAGAGACAGTTGTACGCAACGAACATGTCTTAATTAGTCTACAGGGTGTGTGTTGAAAGTACAATAATACCACAATAGAGACGGGTTGTGTCAACATGATATACGCCGGGTAATGTAGGAAAAAACGTGCAATTTTGACAATAGATAGTTCGCAATACGTATGGATAGAACCATGTCTATGATCAATAGAAAACTTATGAGTACATGTAGCAATGTGATAGCACGAAGCTAGGTTTGATGGGAAAGTGATGGAAGCAATCTATAGGACATTTTCATGTTTACAATACTCACCCTTAATTCGAAGAGAGAACAGAGTTTATCATGGAAAATTGTTTGACGAGGAAAATGTTTTATTGGAAATATATGTCGAAGTAGGTTTATTCATAGCTGATGTATAGCAGAGAGACTAAGCGACCGACCGACCATAACAATGTCAACATACCCCGGCCTTACAATTAATGTCAACATACCAGCCTCGCCTGAAGCTTCCCATTCATAAATTGTGTGACCAGTGTCCCGTATTTATGATATGTCAGGGAAGATGTGTTGTACATTTGTTATTTTAAAAGGGAGTTATTTCAGAGAGGATATATATGGGTATTCCCCTCATTAAACTTTTCTTTCGTTGGTGTCTATAAAAGGTATCCGGTATTTAATACATTTGAATGATGTAGGAAAGTATGTGCGTGTAGATGTTGTACCTATATCCGAACACGAATGTATGACACCTTTCAATTAAATCAATTACGGTTCTAACCACGACACGCAACATGACTATGAGCGTGGTTAGCAGTTCATATTTATGAACACATCGTAAATGACAGATTTCTGATGAATGAACTCGCCCGCACACATGTCTATGGGGTTATGTTCGCCCGAACTGTAAACAGTGACACATTTGATAACAGGAAGGGTGTGTGGAATGCACTCGTCCTTGTAAGGGTAAAATACGCGTTTAAACTCACCATTTAAACGATGACATTACTTTTTTAGATGTATTGGTATCAGTGAGTGAGTGAATTTAGTTTTACGCCACACTCGGCATTATTCAAGCTCTAGGACAGTTGTCCGTCAATAAACGAGCTTGGACCAGACAATCCAGTGATCAACAGCATGAGCAGCGATCTGTGCAACTAGGAACCGATGGCACGTGTCATCCGAGTCGGCGAGACTGACCAACCGATCCCCGTCAGTCGCCGATAAGCATGGGTTACTGAAGGTCGATTCTATAACCCGGACCTTCACGGGTGTAGTATGACGAAGACTATATACTAATATGCCAAAAACTGAGAAAAAAACCAAACAATTCATTCGTATCATTTATTGATTCGAGTCAATCGGTTCCATACAAAGCCGTGATACACGAATGGACAATAGTATTCACTCTGGAACATTATTTAGTCACTCATATACACATGCTGCTGCTGCTGCTCGAAGGCCCTATTGTTTAAACAGCGAGTCCATGTTTTGAAACACATTTCGCACTGTTGAATGTTTTAAGGTTGAATGGTTGTCTATAGTTTATGCTTTATCCATTGCTTGTAACGATTTCCGTCCAGGAGGTCCCAGTTTCACAATTCCTCTCACGTACAGGGAAATTCGGCGTTTTTTATCGTTCAAACGCCTCAGTTTACAAGGTGTTTTCAAAATATGAATCAAACTAGACGCGTGGCGTTGACTCGGCATTCTCTTCTGACTGTTAGACTGATATAGTAGTGATGGGTATTTATGCCTAATCGTTCTGCTCACGATCATCATCATCCTCCTCGTCATCACCTCTGCAATGCTATCAGGTTCAGTCTCACTTTCTATTTCCGGCATATCCATCAAAGGCAGGATCTCTTTCATCTTGGGTTTTAGGAGGAGTTTGATTTTATTTTTGAGAACGGATTGTTCCGTGGAAGGATTCATGTCTCCCAGGTTGTATAGCATGTTTTGAAACAGAGGTGCCTCTTTAAAGTACGTGGTATATTCCATCGCATAGTTGAGAGTACTACGCACTAGAACCTCCCACCTCAGTTTCAATCTTCTCTCAATCCATTCTTGCGTTCGTCCCTGTCGCTCGTACTGTTTTTTCTGCAGTTTCATCTTGTCATGAAACGTATCGTACACCTGCTTCCAGATGCGTTGTAAGCCTACATTTTGCCACTCCTCGGCTTCCATATTAGTGAATGTTGACTTCCCACGTGGAGGTTTGACGGCAAGACCACTGCCTTTCTGGGAAGAGGCTAGGTCGTCAAAGTCACTGTCATCGTCATCACTCTCGAGTCTGGCACGCTTTCTCTTAGGTTGAAGGCTACTGGCCGGACACCAGTGTTTGATATGTCGCTGTAGATCGTGCATGTTATCTATCAGCACCCCGCAATCTGCGCAAGCCGTGGCCATAGTCAATGATGTCTCACTACTCGTGTCTGAATCGGTTTCAATTGGCGTGGGCTGATGTTGGGGCAATCTCTCTTCTTGTGTCAGAGGACGATCCAGAGATTCTGTTGTACTCAACTTCTCCCTACGCAGATCAGGTTCAGACTGTGCTGTTGTTCTCCTGTTTTCCTCGTTTATGAGGTTAACATGCAGTCGATCCTTATCTTTGGTGGTAGGTTTTAGATCGATGGTGAGTTGTCCATAGGGTGTTTCAGCAACCTTTTCATACATAGCCATAAAGTGATCCATATGTTCGGGGAAAATTCTACGAGCGAAGAGTTTGATTTCATGTTTATCTATGGGGGAATGAAACAGGGTGACATAATGCGCGTTCAAAGCAATGTCTCTCGATTCCTTACCTCTCGGAAACAGATTTTGTATCAAGAGAAAGATCAATACATTCTTGTGATGTGAGGTTTGAGTAAACAGCCGCGAAATACGCTTGTCGTGCTTTGCTTCGGCCAGGAAATCATCCAGGACCAACACGTTCTGTTGACGAGCATCAAAGTAATCCTCGTCCAAGATATCGTAGGGAATTCCTTTGACAAAGGTCAGCTGAGGCAGCTGCTCATCAAGGTCCTTATATAATGGCTGCCATTGAGTATAACACCAAACGATGCGGGTAGGTTGGGGTTGGATCAGGCCATGCCGGCGAACATGAGAGGTAAACACAGACTTTCCAAAACCACTGGGTCCCACAACGAGCGCATTTGAGGGAATCAGGAACTTGAATTGTTCTCGAAGATCATATATACATGGTAAATGAGGCAGCCACGAGTGGACTTGCGATGGCGGCGGCGGCGGCGGCGGATGTGCTTGTAACGGCGGGTTGGCTTGACGCAGCGGCGGCGGTGGGTGGACTTGCGGCGACGGCGGCAGCGTTAGCGGGTGGGCTTGTAATGGCGGGTGGATTTGCGGCGGCGGCGGCGGCGGCGGCGGTAGCGGATGGGCTTGCGGCGGCGGCATTAGCGGGTGGGCTTGTAATGGCGAGTGGACTTGCGGCGGCGGGTGGGCTTGTAACGGCGGCAGTATGCTATGTTTATTTCTCCTGTGTCGTAACATGACATCTCTCCTTGAAAACATTTTTTCACAGTCCGGACAGGTGGCAACCCCCATGGTGATCCAATACGGTGTGCGATTAGAGGGTATGAAGCTTTCTTTTATACCCTTGACTCTGTTGACGCTTCAAGGCAGCAAGTG